CCAACTTCTTGAGGACCGAGTCCATTCGGGACGACGTCTGGTCCATCTCGTCCCCAAAGTCTCCCAACATGCTGTCAGAGAAGTAGAGTCATTTCCTCATAGACGTCTATGGGAGCAGAGGAGTCGCCCCCTGCTGGTCACTACAGAGAAGTAGAGTCATTTCCTCATAGACGTCTATGGGAGCAGAGGAGTCGCCCCCTGCTGGTCACTACAGAGAAGTAGAGTCATTTCCTCATAGACGTCTATGGGAGCAGAGGAGTCGCCCCCTGCTGGTCACTACAGAGAAGTAGAGTCATTTCCTCATAGACGTCTATGGGAGCAGAGGAGTCGCCCCCTGCTGGTCACTACAGAGAAGTAGAGTCATTTCCTCATAGACGTCTATGGGAGCAGAGGAGTCGCCCCCTGCTGGTCACTACAGAGAAGTAGAGTCATTTCCTCATAGACGTCTATGGGAGCAGAGGAGTCGCCCCCTGCTGGTCACTACAGAGAAGTAGTGTCATTTCCTCATAGACGTCTATGGGAGCAGAGGAGTCGCCCCCTGCTGGTCACTACAGAGAAGTAGAGTCATTTCCTCATAGACGTCTATGGGAGCAGAGGAGTCGCCCCCTGCTGGTCACTACAGAGAAGTAGAGTCATCTCCTCATAGACGTCTATGGGAGAAGAGGAGTCGCCCCCTGCTGGTCACTGCACAGAATGCTTGGATGCAACAATATAACACTAGAGGACGGGAGGAACTACATTGAGGGGCCACACCGTTAAAACAATATAAAATATAACGTTATATGAATATAATGAGGCCTGTGTGAACGCTGGATGGAATTATGCGTCGTGTGTTTACACTCACACAGCCTGCTCGTCCAGCTCGTCCCCGATGCGTCCCGACATGTCTTTGAGGACTCTGATGCTGCCCGACACCAACTCCAGCTGCTCGTCCTGCTCCTGCACAATCAGCTGCACACACACACACACACACACACACACACACACACCTCATAGTTAAGCTTCCCTCTCTCATCCCTCCCTTACCCCTCCCCATCCTCCCTTTCCTCTTCCCTCTCTCCTCCCTCACTTTCCTCTTGCCTCGTTCTCCTCCCTCCCTCCCTCCCTTCCCTCTCTCCTCCCTCTCCTCCCCATCCTCCCTTTCCTCTTCCCTCTCCCTTCTCAGTTTCTCCTCTCTCCTCTTTCCTCTCCATCCTCTCCTCTCTACCTGCTGCTGCTCCTGTTGCTCCTGGAGGTATTTGGAGTTGGCCGACACCAGATGGGCCTCCAGACCCGTTGAGCGGTCCTGACCCGAGGAAGTAAGCAGAGCCTGGAGACACACACACACACACACACACACACACACACACACACACACACAGTTAATGAAGGGAACAAGTGTCAAAGCAACGTGCTGAAACAAAAAGTGAGAAACAACGTGCACGACAAGATGCTGCAAAGAGGCGGGAGAGTAACACAACATGTGTGTGTTTAACTTGAACCAACCTCTCTGTTCTTCTTCTCTGCCTGAGCCACAGCAGAAGGGCTGGACAACTGATCCTTCATCTCCTGCGTGCGCACACACACACACACACACACACACACACTATTTACATCTCCACAACGTGTCCCTTTAGAAGAGAACTCTGTTGCACCCTAAAGAAAACGAGTACACCAGTAAACAAAGAAAAGGTGCTTTTACCTGGACGGATGTCCGCGTTCGCTCCACAAAGCCCCTCCTCTCCTGAAGCTCGCTGTCGGCGAGTCTGAACTTCCCCGGGTTGGACTCCACGATACCTGAGCGGGTTAAGGAAGCCGACCAGAAGAACTCTGCAGCCCCCAAGAAAAGAAAAATCACCTGTTCAGTTATTTATTTACAACAGCTAACAGGATTAAAGGAGACAATAAATGAAAGGTCTCTGATTTGCGTATCACTGGAGTTAAAAAACGTTGGGTCTTCAGAATGTTCAATGAGTGGACAGATGGGGGGGGCGGTGGTGCGGGGAGCATCTCCTCCTGCTGAAAAGGATACTGATGGTTTCACTGAGGTCCTCCAGGTCCCAGTCGATGGCCCTCAGGCAGTTCCTCAGCTCGTTGGCGCTCCAGTCGAGCTCGTCCCGACTCACCTTCAGGCCACAGACAGCAGGTACAAACCGTCAACTCCGCCCAACCACAGAAGCGTTCTCACGGTCACACGTTCTGGGTTGTAACAAATGGGGACACGCAGGCGGCGTTCCTTAGGAAGCCCCTTTTCCCCCCGTGGGACTGTGGTAGTGGGAAGGGGAGCGTTTGAGGGCACTTCATCCAGACTTAAAGCAACACGGGGTTAAGACATGTTGGGGAGGAGCAACATAGGCTACAAGGCACACGTCATGTATGTAATGTAACATTATACAGGCTGCAGCCACGGAAGGTGCAGCAAGTTGCTAAACCGTTTCTGATTGGTTGGCTCGTGTCACGTGTCCGCCGTCAGCAGCTCCTCCTGCTCGCTGTGGGGGGGGAAGCTCACCTGGGTCCCATCCTGCAGCAGTTCCTCCCATCTGTCAAACAGGGCCCGGGCACGGGACAGGGCCTTCTGCACCTCCCTGGGAGGAGGGGGGAGGGAGGGGGGCAGACACAAGTATCCCAGTTAGGTCATATTAACTAACTAGCTAACCCGTTAACCAAAACAAACAGCAGCTCCACGTTGGCGTCCTTGTGGACCAGCGCCGCCTCGCTACCTGCCGGCCTGCGGACTCCCACGGAGCTCCAGCGGGGGGAGGAGGAGGAGGAGGAGGAGGGGGAGGAGGAGGTGACAGGAGCGAATGTCGGCCTCCAGACTCTTTAAACGAAATGTCAACAAAGTGGCCGCCGCTGGGTAGCGCCCCATGCTAGCTAGCTACAGCTAGCTTTTAGCCCCGACTCGGCCGATATAAACGTTACTTTTAGAGGGACAACGTCCACTTTGCTGCCTCGCTCGACTCCGGGTGAACACCCGCGTGACGCAGCTCGAGATACCCGCGAATTCGGGTCTTAATTCGTCCGTCTCTTACCCCTTCACGACGAAAAACGGGTCCTCCGTCGACATGATGCTTACTTCCGGTTTCCTCGACGCGCATGCGCAGTGAGCGCTGGAACTTTCCTTTTTTTTAAAGTCAGACACGGTTTATTATTATTGGTACACGCGCACATCATCGGGTTTACAGATGCAGTTAACGCAGTGCAAACGTGTAATGGACATTGGTTAAACTATATAAAGTAAATCAAAGACGCTAAATAACAAATAAGAATGCAAAGTGTTTGTGATCCATGACAAATCTGCCAGGTCTCACCAGAAGAGATTTTATTTTCTGTCAAACTGTTAATATTTACCACTGTTAGAGCAGATTGCGTTTCTGTATTTATTCTTTATTATCTTTGTCTAGTGGTAGAAAAAGGTGGTATTTATAAATATTAAGTGAAATACTGGTTGTGCGGCGTTAATATCGTACACATTTAACATTTATGGGGGTTTATGACCATTTAACTACATAACGCTGTCCCCAGGTTGACTGCATATCATTTATTTCATTTTCCAGTTTTGGAAAAAAAGTCAACAAACCACTCCTAATAAAATCTGTTGCAATGACGTTTAGCTTCTGGGTTGAAGTTCAATAATTCAACGGAGAAAGGAGGGCGGCGCCTGTGGATGTGGAGGGATGGGATAGTGGGAAAGAGGGAGCGTTAACGGTACACATCTGTCGCAGGTTTAGTCGCCATGGTTACGCCGATAGCCACCGCCGGTTCGCCGCAGGACTTTCTCCACATTACGACAACCTTTCCAAAGGAGTCCCGACTCGTAGTTGTTAAGCCCCTTCTTGTTTTTATATTGAATATATTTGTATTTGCTTTGCTTATTTTTGTTTTGAGTATCTTTGTGGTTGTTTGGAGTATTTTTGGTGTTGTTTAGAGTATATGTGTAATAATTTAGGGTTTCTTTGTACCTGCCAGGACCAGGCCCCTGGGACCCGAAGAAGGTCGAGAGGATCAACGAGGAAGAAAAAAAGCGTACTCAGCAAATCCTCCAACACGGTTTCTCGCCCCTTTACAGAATCTCCTTCCTGTTCCACCCGTTCCCGTGGGTTTCTTCTTGCCACCCCACCCCGTCCAGATCCTTCCTGCGGCCCGCTTCCTCCCCTCCCTTCCTCCTTCACCTTCACATCACAGGACAGGGACTGACATCAGGGACACGATTCAAACCGCCAACCTAGCAGTTCACTTCCTGCTTCATTTGCTGTGAAATATCACAGAGTTATAAAAGGTCTTCAAACACAGGCAGAAATCTCCTCTTCTGGTCAGTTTTTATTGGAGCGTTTTGTTTTTTGTTTTTGAGCGTTTGTCCTGTGAAAGCCTCACGTCGACACGCACGTCTCCATCACGATTTGAACCTTGACAAAGGGAGATTAGGACGTTCCCCGAATGCGTGGCCCTGGTCTCGGGGGACAGACGTGTGAAAGCTGATTGGAAATAATCAGGGAACCACTTTCTCAAAGGAACAGAGGAAAAAAAACACAACACGGCAATAAAAGGAGAGAGAAACAGAATGTGCTGTGGTGGCTTAATAGATATTGTGCCGAACGTCTGCTTGCTTTTATCGACTCATGTTCGGTTCTCTTTTTTCGTTTTGTTTCTACATTGGAAACGTCAGCTGACTAAACGGGTTTGTCTCCGTCGGCCTGGTGATACTCAAACCCAGATGGTCATTGAAATCATGCCTTTCAATTTTTAACATAACCATCTTAATTGCATGTATTTATTGAGTCTGGCTGATTGGCGTCACGCGGCCACCGGAGGGCGCCGTGGAGACCCAATGGTTGAGAACAGCGGCTTCTATTGACCTTTGGAAGGTTAATATACAGGGATGTGAGTCAGGAAGTCACCTTTTTGGCCCCAGCTCTCTTAAATGTTGAATTAGATTCTCTTGTCGTAATCAATACCACAACTACACAAACAAACAAGTTCTATCTGGTATTGTTTGGTAAGTTTAAGTTATGTCTTGCTAAGTAAAATGTACATAAATGATAAATTACAATAATGTGAGTAAATGTTAATTTGGTCCAATTGGAAACAGGCTTCAGATAGTGTGGTAATTCTTTCATAAAACGTTGTTATCGTCATCCTCCACTTATGACATCACTGGCGTCATCTCTGCTGCCCGCCGCTCGCTGCAGATCGGCCTGCGTGGAAACTGTGCGTCACCTTCCAAAGCACCGGGCAAAACTGAACCGAGGCGAAATAAAAGAGAAAGCTGGCAGAGGGTCAACAAGCACGAGGAAACAGTCGGAGCGGCGACGGCTATAAATAGACGCCTGACCCGTTCCTCAATGAGGCCTCCAGGACCTCCGTGTTCAGATGACCCACTTTCATCTCTGCAAGTCACACACGCGCCACGCTGCTGCGTGCACGCAGTGACTGGGAGAGAGAAGTCACTTGTTTGCTTTTTACAGGGGAAGTTACGTGCAGCTGCTTCCCAGAAAGACACGCGTCGCCGCGCTAATTGATAGCGAGCGGATGCCAGGATGCGACTGAAGAGCACAACAAACACCGGCCTGCGTGTCACTAATAAAACCGGCTGGCCCACTTTACCCAGCAGCCCGTCCTCTCCGACCTGTGAAACAGGCCTAACTCCCAAACGTAAAGCTCACGAGAACACGGGGCCGGTTGACGCCAGCTGATCCGTCGGGCGTTACAGTGTTCTCGAGTGATCCTACGGAGCCGTCGGTTCCAGTTATTTCCGTGTATAATATCTATTGTATGAATGGACCAAAGCAGCTTAAATGCTTCACCGTGTTCACCGGCTAGTAGCCAACTAGCCTCTTTCACACAGAGGAGCTGATGTAGGTAAAGTCTGTCTGACGGTTGTGGTTTTTTGAAGCAAATAACAGAAGCTAATATATGTGGACTGAGGGGGGTGAAGAGGAACCAGAGACTGAGACCATAAACTCATGTTTACAATGTTTACTGAGGGAATAAATCCAGAGAGAAGTAGAGTCCTCATAGACGTCTATGGGAGCAGAGGAGTCGCCCCCTGCTGGTCACTACAGAGAAGTAGAGTCATTTCCTCATAGACGTCTATGGGAGCAGAGGAGTCGCCCCCTGCTGGTCACTACAGAGAAGTAGAGTCATTTCCTCATAGACGTCTATGGGAGCAGAGGAGTCGCCCCCTGCTGGTCACTACAGAGAAGTAGAGTCATTTCCTCATAGACGTCTATGGGAGCAGAGGAGTCGCCCCCTGCTGGTCACTACAGAGAAGTAGAGTCATTTCCTCATAGACGTCTATGGGAGCAGAGGAGTCGCCCCCTGCTGGTCACTACAGAGAAGTAGAGTCATTTCCTCATAGACGTCTATGGGAGCAGAGGAGTCGCCCCCTGCTGGTCACTACAGAGAAGTAGAGTCATTTCCTCATAGACGTCTATGGGAGCAGAGGAGTCGCCCCCTGCTGGTCACTGCACAGAATGCAGCGTATGATACATTGTTTACTTTAAAGTGCATGACAGTTATGTAACATTATTACCAAATAACTGGATGTTTCCTGTGACTAATTACACGTCTCTGGAATCTCAATTGTCGAATCTTAGAAATCAATGGGAACTAATGTTTTTGTCTGAAAATAAAAATGAAGAATCAGCAACTTGCTCCTTTAAAATCTGTGTTACAGAGCCCCAAAGCGCCACGAGCTTCAATCAATCCGATAACCGGGACATGATGTTGAAGAGCCTCGGAGCTCTCTGGCTCTTCGGGGTCGTTTGCTGCTCCTCTGACCCCCCGTCTGAGCTGCAGGGGTGAGAACTGCCGGCCCCGCCCTGCATGTGGTCTGCTCACACAAACACACGCACACGCCCATTTGGCCGAGACACTGCCAAGTGCAACCACACACAAAACACTGTCACCATGGCGACCGGCTCAGGTACAGACCTGCAGCGACGTCATATTTAGTACACTGTGTCCGACCCACATTTTAAAGTGCAAAGAACACACACACACACACAAGTCGGAATAAATCACGTTTATGGCTCATTCTTTTAAATCAGTCATGGCGAGGAACAGGAAGTTTGCCCGTTTCAAGCTGAAAAAAAGTTTTTACCTGAATGAAATATACACTAGAACATTGTAAGACGCTGCTGGGCCGCAGACCTCCTTCCTCCTCCGCACGAGCGTTATTATTCTGTGACATCGCCGCATAATTGGCCTCCGTCACTGTGCCACGTCGTGCGGGAGGGGGAAAGTAGTGTGGTTTCCATGGTTACGTCCTGCATGTTTTTACAGCATCTGACAGCATAGATGGTGATTGATGAGTTATGCACTTCTGTGACAGGCTGAGGATGATCTGAGGGTGGGAGGGGGGGGTTACTGCAGTCAGATATTATTTTTCTCAAACATCTACTTATATTGTCATTATGGGTCACGATCGTTTCAAAATACAACATCAGAACATCTCATATCTATTTTAGTTTTCTATCCATGATAATCTGCAATGTTCAATTCCTGATAAAACCACGTAATATGTTGCAAATGGATCAAAAAGAAAAATGTCCCCGGGGACATCTCCATATATGGCGTAGAGGTGACGCAACCACCGCCGGGCCCGCGCGCACCGAGGAGAAGACGGGGAGGGAGGGAGGGCCGTGGTTGCGCGTTCGCGTCACGGATTTTCCACTGTGCGCGCACACGCTACAACCGGATGGACCATATATGGAGGCTGAGCATGCGCGTGAATGACGTCGTGTGTTTTTGTGAACGAGTGAGAGAGAGAGAGAGAGGGAGAGGGGGGGAGACATGAGACATTTTGGAGACTCGTTTCCTTCTCGCTGTAGTTTTCTTGCCGAAGAATGTAAACAGGGACCTTCATAAGTGATTACGTCATAATGTAACTCCACACTTCCTCTCCCGGTTAATCGACCCTCCTCCTCCTCATCTGAGCTTCTATTTCAGGACACGAAGAGACTTTACGGGAATGTGTGTCTCATAATAACAACAATAATAATAATAATTACTCGGTGTGAGACATCTTGTTTATCGTGTAAACTTCTTCTTCTTTAATTGAGAATGAATGATGATTTTCCCGGATCCAAATCACGACGATGATCATCTGAATCACACAAAACAACATCGTCATGAAACATCTAATTAAACCCTCGTGGGATTGAAGTTATCTAATTCAGAAGAAATAAATAATAAAAGAAAAAGGGTAGACGGGTAAACAGATGGTGTGTGTCTGCGTGTGTGTGCGCGCGCGCGCGCGCGTGCTGCAGCTCCAGCAGGTGTGGGCGGCGCCTGCTTGTCACTTCCAGAGGAATGAAGCCCGTGTTACGTCAAAGGGGCAATAAAACGCCACCCTTCTGCTCTCTGCTCTCACTCCTCCGAGCGCCACACGCGATGAAGCGCCGCGGTCCGGCCTGAACACACCGACCACAAAGCAGCCGCCGGAGCCCGTGACGTGCCCAGAAAACAACCGCGCGTAATTACGCACACAGCGAACGACGCGGAAAAGGAACAATGAATGCCACGAGCGCCATGGAGGTGAGCGCCGAGGCCAGGCGGATCCTGGCCGTGTCCATCAGCAAGCTGTACGCGTCCCGGTCCCAGAGAGGCGGGCTGAGGCTCCACCGGGGCCTCCTGCTCTCCGTGGTCATGAGGTCTGCCCGGGACATCTATCACTCCTCCCGGGAGTGCGACGAGCAGTGCGGCGCGCGGCCGACATCGGAGGTGCTGATGGAGACCGGCTGCGGCCCGCAGGAGCAACCGGCGCTGCCGGAGCCGGAGCCCGAGCCCCAGCCGGAGCCCCAGCCGGAGCCCCAGCCGGAGCCCCAGCCGGAGCCCCAGCAGGAGCCCCAGCCGGCGGGGAAGTCGGAGGAATCGGACAGCGAGGACGACCTGTCCGACGGGGAGACCGCGGAGGACAAAGAGAACATTGGCCCCGCGAGGCGGTCCAGGAAACGCCGGGGCAAGGCGGCGGCGGCGCCCGACTTCCTTCCCAGCAAGAGGGCGAGGCTGGAGCCCGGGGAGGAGAGGCACGCCGCCGCGCCCCCCAGCAGCTGCCGCGCCGCGGCCGCGGAGTCGCTGGCCGCGCTGTCGCTCAACGGGGTCCCCGCGTTCTGAACACACCGACCTTCCAAGCAGACGGCGAGGAGAAGATTTTGAGTTCTTTGTAAAACACACACGGGGCGGCGGGTTGATCCCCCCCCCCCGCACCCAAGGAGCCGACCTACATAGGCGGCCCTGGGACAGAGGGATTTACCGGGAACATGGTACGGGACCTTGGATCCGAGCCCTCCGGTCCATCGGGCCATCGGAGTGCGCCTGCCGGGCTGGACAAAGCCTCTCACCCCGCAACGACAACGACAGAGCCGCGGAGGAACCGGACCCGGGGAGAACCGGACCCGGGGGGGAACCCGGCAGGCCCGGAAAGTTTGAGGAAGAAACTGAAGGGGGGGGGGGGATTTTTCATGATTCACCTTCAGAAAAATGAGTCCAAACAAGTGACTGTCACTGACTCAAAGGTGTGAATCAGCAGAGTGATAGTGAGTCAACACACACACACACACACACACACACACACACAC